AAGCATGAAATCCTTGAGGAAGAAGGCAAAATCGCAACAAAGCATTTGTAGAGGCATTATGTCAAGAATGAGAAACGTGGAAGAAATTGCTCAGTTGTTGCCTGTTGTTCGCAATCAAAGGTGGCGAGATCGATGATAGACCAACCTGGGCTTTCAAGCAAAAATCAATGCTCTACAATGAAGGCCGAGGCTTCTGTTTACTCAAACAATGTTCCAAATATACTCCTTAGTTTCGCGAAACATATAAATCATAAAGAACAATTGAAATGTGAATTTATTTCCTGTATTTGATTAATACGAGGTCCACGAATAATCACCCACTGAACCCTCCTCTTACTTCCCTAACTCTCTACATCAAATCCCACCACTCGACCTCTCCCCCTGCTTCTGATTGTCCAGTGAAACAGAGTGTATGGAGTGGGTAGCGTTTATTGTGGAGTGCGCAGAACTAAGTTGGCTGCTGAACCAAGAACTCTCATGGAATGGTTGGCATGCCACTGTTGGTGCAAGAGAGCATGTTGGATCACGATCACTGATACCTCTCAGCCTATGTAATAAACAATAGTCACACGGTGGAGACGACGTGATCAACGTTGTCAAACCTGTAGTTGAAGCCTAATCTCTGTGCTGGTGACACTGTCACAATATAGGCTTTTCACAAGATGTGTCCCGCTGCCTCCATATGGCTGGGCAAACTTGGCCAATTTCGGGAGCCATTCCATACTATGGAACCTTGGCATGGAGATGAGTGGGGTTCAGTCTAGGCTTATTCGTGAAGACATCGGCTACACAACAATAGGTCTGACTATACTGCTCTTTATATCTTTTCTCTGTATCAAAAAACACCAACAGTGGCAAACTAATTAAAAGCTCGTAAATATGCATATTTGAGAGCAATTGAAGTGTTCTTCCCTTTATCCTCTCCATAATTATCAGGTAGAAAGGTACACTACATTGGAATCTGTGAGGGTGGATTGACTTGAGTACACTTATTAAAATGCTTTATTGTTGCATGAGTCCACGTGCACCAGAGTCAGATTACCACGACAGTTATCCTAAGTAAAACACACCATAATGAGTGCATACGTGTTGTCATGAGTAAGGTCCGAGGTCAACTGATGAATTTATCTGAAAGAAATCAAGTGAAATAAAAGGATCACTCTTTTAACTATCTCTTGAAAATATTTTTTATCAAATGGCAGGCATTATGATAGTTATCATTAGCCCATTAGTTGACTTCAGGCTTCGCAGAGGGGAAGGAACATCAAAGAGAAAAAAATAGAGATGGTTTGGAGTTGATGTAAAAGAGACAGACACAAAGGTAGGAATAAGATGAGGTGAGTACTGCGAAAGTAGTCGAATATGACATACAGTGGGTGTTCTTGTGGTTTGAAGTGAGAAGTCAACTGCCGATTAATAGCCTTTTTGCCGTATGAGCATACGTTGCCCAGGCTGCTCCACGTGGAGGTAAGTCTATCGCACACCCCTCATTGAAAATATAAATTACCATAAGTGGTTGGCATTATTGAATTTTTCAACCAAATGAAAAACCCAAAACCCTGTTGCTACTGAGTTGATATAAGTAGTGAATAGCCTTGATAAACAACATTAAAAATGGGTTTTCGTTCTGGTGGTAATTGTAACAGACACATAGAACACAAACAGGCAGATCACTTTCCAAATTCCAACGCTTGCGACGTACCTTTTAAAATCTGATAACCATACCCCGAAGTACGTTTCCTTTTACCATAAATCAAAATAGACGCATTGGAAAATCGTCGGAGCTGGTAGTTAGCCGGGTCTTGGCTGTGTCTTGTGGTGGAAGCTACATTGATTGGGCAGGTCTAAACTGTTACAGCTCCATCTGACTAAATCAATCAAGATGGGGAAGCCAGTTGCGGGACGTATGAGGTGGAAAAAGCCAATTGAAAATGTTGGCAAACTACCCACTTGATTGTCCTTTAGATACATTCACTGCAGTGTCGTGTTGTTCAACCTCGAGTGTTCACTGGGTGAGAGATTTCTACAACCAAGTCAACACCTATCAGAATGATCCACGGAGCATGAGGTAGCATTGTGCACTCATCGGTGAGCATCCCCTCCACGCTTCCAGCATGCAATGCAATGCAGAGAATATCCCAAAAAGTAAATCAGAGCACATTAATCTTACATCAACCCCATTGTTTTCAGCTCTGAGTCACAGTCTTCTCTACATTATCTTACTTTTCATATTGAAATACCTGGCTGTGGGATGGGGGCGGGGTAGGGGGTACTTACATACAGCACCTTTACATTGTCAGAGAGTTATTATGACGAGAGAGAGAGAGGGGTAAAGATGGAGGGGTATATTGGTGGAGAGAAATAGAGAGGGTTGGAGGGTAGAAGGTTGGTGGAATTGTTAGTTGGGAGGAGGTGTTAAGTGGGTCAACCTATTGAAGTTGACGGAAAGTAATTGAGGAGCAGCAACCGATGCTTGTCTGCATTAGAGACAATGAGGAACGTTCCGAGTCTTACTGGTGGGATAAATACATCGGAGTGTTGATGAGAAGAGTAAGTAGGAAACTGGAATCATTAAAGGCCAATGATAAATTGTGGTGTTGGATATGCCGAATAAGGCTGACGTAGTGGTACCTCCTAAATGAACTCCTCTAATTCTTGGAAGACCACTCGTACTTCACGGAGACGATATTGTGATGTTGACTCAACTGTGGGTTCTAAATATGTCATCATCAAGGTTTGTCGGTTCCCATGATTCTGGCCCATCATTTCAACTCTTATTGCCCTACTTAACTCATGTAAACTAAATTTGAAGTTGGTGAGCTGTAATCAAAACAAGCATACATTTCAGCAAATGTCTTGGGAGGAGTTTTGCAGGTATTCAGGCCCTAACGAGAGAAAGACTCCATGCAGTTTCCATTTGACGTGTAGACTTTGGGATTGGATGCTATTGCTCCTAACATTATAAGTAAATCCATCAATCAATCACAAAAGCTATGCTTAACAATGTGCTCATTAAGTAAGAAAATTGGGGCTTTATTTTGCTCACTGTATTTGGACACAAACTGAACCCACACATATGTCTGCTATTGGTTCGATGTTTTTGGTACCCCCAAAATATCACTCTAATCTCCAAAAAAGTACCCTGCCCTTCTACATTCTTTCTTTCTGCTGGTTTCATTCGCTCCAACAGAATCCCATGCCTCACCAATCCTCCGTTGGTGACACATATTTATTGGTATGTCATCCTGCAACAACTCGACCAAATACGGGTATAGTTCAATCGTTACCATAAATTCAACAAGGAGTTTAGAAATATGACTAACATTAGTATTCTCAATCTCACTCGATTAGCCCCATTTTAATACAGACGGTTCACATTCATATTATTTACACTTTAATTATGCTCACAAAATAAACAAATTACAACGAGGATTAAACGAAAGCAGATTATTGCAATGCGAAACATGGTGAAGACATGTTCCTCAATCCACAAATCACACGAGCAACAATACCACCAGGAAGTCTTCTCATCACGTCACAGGCAAATCTTCTCAGTCTCTTCGCTATCAGTAATTGTACTATGAAAAGTGGAATCTTTTTTGAGATCATGGAAACCAGTTCTGTTGGAAATGCGCAGTGAGGGAGCAGAAGCCGACAACTGAGAGGCCCATTCCAGAGCTGAATTGAGAGTAGGAACCACAGAGGCAATGAAACTTGAACCAACCCTGTCGAAATATTGGATGAATTTCTAATGCTTGTGTGGGAAGAGGTTTCTGAGGACACCTTTCCAATCTGATCTTGTTCTTTCATTCATTAGGGGAATTTCAGCACAATCGGTTTCAAGATCAATACCTCCACAAACAAGTTCATTCAAAAGAAAATGAACCTAAAATTAATAACATTACAATCGGTGCTGTCACCTTGTCCGAATTGAAAATGATGTCTAATTCGCAGACATTTTCAACGGTTCGGTCCAGTAAGTCCACAAATACATGAATAAGGTCAAGTACGCCTAACTCGATTTCTGACAAATCAACGCGGATGGTAATATAGATTGTTGAATACTGTCTATAAATCACACGATATTCACTGACTTTTCTAAAACCAGTTCCAAATAAATTCTTTCAAACAACAATCGTTTGCGTTTCTAGAAAATTACAGGAATGATTCGATAGTTTATGAAGTAGTTCATACGTTTCGCGAAGAATAGCTTGCTGCTCCGATTCGGTCTAATAAAATCAGAAAAACCAATGGTGAATAAATCAGCCCACACTTTCATCATAAAACTTGAGTAATTTCATTTATCTAATCATTTATTCGCCTTTCCATTCGATACTTTAAATCCACACAGTTAGAAGGCTATCCGAATAGACGGTGGTTGTAGCGTAAAATAAAAATAGTCAGTCTTTCGAAATTACTTACTTTAACCATAGAAAATTATTTCAAATTCGAAGTTTAAAGTATGAAAACGTTTAAGGGCTAATAATTTAATTAAAGATATTCATTCTAAGACGTAATAAATTTAGGTCAATAATATGGCATTGAATGGTAAGCAGGGGGGGGGGTTAAATATTCCATTTAAAAAATTTATCAAAGGACCAAGTGACACTAAAATTGCGAAATATTCTTAATTTTTGCTTGGTGCTGATAAGTAAACAGTAGGGATTGAATTACCTGTTATTAAAAGAGCATAATTGTGCCTATATCATTGTCCAATTACTTTGAATGAAATCTACTGCAGTATCTAGAGTATAACACCACTGTTAGATGTCTTGACTTCTGTTTCAAAAAATCTAGTATCAATAGTTTTACACTCATCACATAATTCTCAATGCTTATTTTGCTTTGCTTCTTCCACTTTACTAAGTGTCTTCGGACATAAAACTTTCAAAAGGTAATGAATGTTCAAGGTCAGCCTACTCCATCAAGTTGACTCGTATATTTGCCTTTTCAGAACTGTTAGTGGACAATTGGGGTGTGGTTATGCTATGAGTAATAAGAGAAGGATGACGATGAAAAGAGATATTTCGACTAACATATAAGCATATAAGTAGCTAAAACTATTTCATCTTAGCTGGTAGATCTTATTGGCACAACATGTGCTCTGATTAGTGTCCGAAGTTTTCGAGCATTATTGGAGAGAGGATTTAGGCCATATACTTATTCTTCGTCATGGTGGTGGTGATGGTAATGATGGCGATAGTAGAACTGCCAAGAAGCCTGGAGAGAAGTCTAGAGGTAATGGCAAGGTAATAGCCAGAGAAAATAGACGGGTTTCAAATCTCATCGTCCCTAAGATGCAATTCTCCCACCATCTTGCACCAACACCCTTTCCAGGTCTTCCCATTTCCAATTCTTCGCTCATTCGTCGTTCCTCTTCAATACACCTCCTACAATCCACAATCTCCTGGCCACCTGCTTTAGGAAGTGATGTTGGTTGCCGTTAGGCTGAATAACAGTAAAGAGAGGCGAATGTTTCTATGTCCGAATTGGCCAGCCACCTACAAGTTGATCATTAAGTTCAAATATCTGTTCACATATCAGCAACGGAATCTGGTTATAAATTAGTACAAATTAACAAAATCCAACCCAGACTACAGGACTAATTTGGTGGGGATATGCTGATACACCTTGCTTAAGCGTTAGAAACAGAATGTAAAATAAAATTATAAATTTACTCACTATATAAATGTACAAATTCTTTAAAAAACAAAAGATTTAAATAATTCAGGTTTTAGTTCCGATTTTTTGAACGATTGCCGACCAATTTCCTTGTTCGTAGACACACTCAATAAGTTCAAGGGACGGTACTGATGCGATTAGCTTCTCCAGTTCGCCTTCTTCAAACAGATGGTAGTAACGAACTAATATTTCATCTTCATCAGAATAAAACAACATTTATTAAAACGAGATACTTTTAATACTAAGTAAACATTATCATTCATACCTTCCTGCTTGGCGGCTTTCCAAGGTAAAAGAATGTCTGGTGCAACAAAAGGAGTTCGTGGTTTCTGAACGGGCAAAATACCTCCACCGGGAATGACTTTGCCATCAAGAACATTCTCTTCAAGATCGCTCTTCTTCACATATGTCGCACATTGACCTTTCCAGCTTTGGTCCTTTGCCCATACTTGAATCAAACCAAGACCGCCAATTTTGAGCATTTTCATCATTGAAATAATTCCCTCTAAGCGGCGCTCTGGTGTCGACAGGTGATGCAATACGGCAACGCAAATAAAATAGTCTAGAGATTCGGGTCGATAAGGAAGAGCTAGAATATTGGAAGCAACTGCGTCAAACCCCCGTTTTCTGACCAATTCGAGCAACTTTATGCTCGAATCGGAAGCAAGAAGGGGGGCAAGAGGAAGTTTCTCTTTATCAACGGCAACTAAATATTTCCCATTGCCACAACCAATATCTGCACCAAAAGCACCAGGAGGAAGGCTTTGGAGAAATTTCATCACTCCCGGCCAGGGAGCATAACGGGAAGCACTGAAAGATTCGGCAATCGAATCGTATATTTCATGAACATATTTTTTCTCGAGTTCGGGTGGAATAACTTTATCTGTTGACATCTAAAAGGGAGGAAAAAAGCAAGTTAAATGAGCAACTTAAATTAAACGAGCCAGCCAATTTTGCAATTCCAACAAAATATTGAAGAACTCACTTGAATATTTATATGAAAGTGCTCAATATTAGCACTATGCGAACACCAGAACACAATATTTTCAAATACTCACGATTGTTAATACATATAAACTAATAACCACAAAGATATTCCAAAATTGTTTCCTTAAAAACTATTTGCTTTGTACTACACGAATTTTGACCTGTATAAAACACCTATTTAATCAATTTTACTTTAATTAAGTTATTTATTTATGAACAAATTTTGCTTACCAACACGTTGCGTAATTCTCGTTGCTGAAGCTGCCCTATGTAAAATAACCTTGTTTCATTTGGTTTGGGTTGGCTTACCACAATAAAACAACAATTAGCACTCAATAAAATTAGTCTTTCACACTGCATATAAATGTATAATAACGGAATTATTTTGATTTCTAATGGATAATGTACATTTTATGTCGCCGCAGAATCTCATTTGTACTTCTGAACGAGCATCTAAAATAGCAAAATTCTAACTGAAAGCTGATTTTCCTATTAACCTCGTTGTAACATCATACCTGGAACAAATTTCAAAAAATATTCTTGCTTAAAAATTGTCGTCTTCTTTGTAAAACCTTTTTTAAGGCGTGCAGCTTACTTTTTAAATTTGAATGAAACGTTATTTATTAGTTTTGAGATTTTGTTTTGTACTCTCAGAATAAATGCATGGTAGAGGAAAGTAATAAGTGTACATGAAGTGAGCTTTTTGAAGCAACAAATTAATAACTGTTTCCCTTCGAAATATATCCAAGAAATTATTTGCTTTTGTAATGATGATTACTTTTTGATATCCTGTCAAGTTATGCGTTTGTTCAACATATGTTTAAATATCTTCGCAGAATCAAATAATTGCTACATCCTAATTAATGCATATCCTCAGCCATTTGACACCATAAATACCGTGCGAACCTCTTTCAACATTAGTTTCACTGGTACTAGACTGGTGCTATTGCTGTTTGAAATATATTCAATTCGTCTATAGCCTTCGCTCATTATCACTAAAACACATCACCTCAGCATTCATCTGAAGTGAGACACGTAAGAGTTCGGCTGTGAGCGTTTTTAATAAAATTAATCGGGCGTTGGTGGATTAATGCCACAACATATAAACGTTATTTTCTATTTTATTATTTCGTATAGAAACATTAATTTTTCGCATTTGATTATTAAAGTTTAAGGCGTACGAAATTTTATTGGATTACGAGAGTTATTCATAGCATGATGATTTAATAATGAATTTTTTTAATACTGGTCAATCAAACACTATCCATATTGTTCATGAAACTCGTGTAAAATATCTTCAATTAGGATATCTGGTGTTATTGTGTAAAACCTCAATAAATAATACTGACAGCTATATTTATTTCCCTTTATATAATAAAGTTAACCCTTTGCATGCTTGTCTCTGCTTAACAAGAAATTACTTTAAATTTCATTTTTATATCTTCAAAATTGATTATAACGTAGGCAAGTATTAGCATCAAGGTGAATGCATTAGATTAATGTTGACCTAATTGGTGTGTCCTTTTATACTTTTCTCAGCTGTTTGTCATTGGATAGGGCTATCGTTTGTGCAGCTGTAAATTGCTTACATACCTTATCGTCTTGGTGTTTTAATTTCTATTTTTTAATGTAATGTATCCTTAAAATTAATATCTTATTCTCAAATTTGTAGATGTCTAATCAAGGAATACGTATTCAAACTGATTGGGATAAAGCTGTAATGTAGGTTTCCTTATTGTTCATTGCTTAATTAAATTATGTTGGTAACTCAAATCGTTGCTCGTCCTATAGTGAGAAAGATAGTAGCTTCTGGTTCCATTTATATGAATCGAACAAAGTTCGATATCAAAAAGTAACAATTACTGGTGACCAGCTCACTGTAGACACTCCCGATGTTGATTGCCTTATTTCTACACGGGTAATTTCTGTTTTTCATTGTAAATTATTGTTTTTTTTCACATAGAAAACGATTCGTTTTAGAAATGCGATTAAACGCCTTCAAAGCACATTTCAGAGTCCAGATTTCAGGTTTTCTTCAGTCCACAAACAGTCCCGTGAGGTATTTGTATTTTTACTCCGAATTTGTCTCTATATTCTTAGTCTCCAATTCATTTGAACTCATTTGACGTTAATTCAAGCGGAAGTCTTGCTGTTTCCGCCACAAGTGATGAAAAAGTCTTTCTATGGGAAACAAGATCATCTGATATTCGGGTAAATTGATGCCTTTTATTTATTTTCGGTTGCCTAGTGCTATTTTCAAAAATTATACTATTCACAAAAACAAATTTAGAATTTCTGAAGTTCTTAATTTCGAAGGTGAAGGAAATTTCGTTCGTGAAGTTTGGAATTCTCACCTATCCATTTGTTGAATTAGTTGGATAAAAGCACTCATGCACTTTCTAGATTCTTTTTCAAAATTAAGTGCAAATAATATCGAAGGTCTCTCCAGCCTAGATTAACTTTACGATTAAGTCACTCGCAGTCCTTCTCGATTTATGCATGTATTGCAAATCCAAACAGGATGCTACCTTTTTGCACTTCAATTCATTTTTTTTCTTAATATTATTAAAAGCCAACAAATGGAATTCGTTAATTGGCCGATAAATTTATCAACCTCTTTTCTTTTTTTACTGTTTTGACTATGAAGTCGCTTCATTCTCACGCTGACGCCTTATTAGGTAGCAGATATGTGCATAGATAGAGTAGTTTCTGAATGAACGATGGGAAGGCTTTAGTTTAGTCTGCCTTCTTCCTCACCATTTGACCGATTCCATAGAACATGGGGATGGTGATGTAGTGATTATCTCATTTCAATATGTTTTTTTACAAGTGCTTACTTCTATCCGAAATGGATTAAGAGCGGAGTTAGTCCTTATGAAAAAATACGTCTTTCTCACTGGATGTAGTTTGCTTATTTTTAATTTACTAAGAATGACATTGTTATAGAGAGCCTATTAACCGCGTCTGGTTGTGTGATTTTCCAAGCTGTGGCATCTATGTATCTAGGACTTTAAGTGACGCCTTTTATACTGATTTGCTTTTCTTAAGTTACAGTAGTCATCCATGAAGTGGGAATATCGGTTGGCCGTGATTTAAACCATTTCTTAGTTAAGAATTCTACGATTTCCTTAATTTTACTTATTGGCTACTTTTCATATCTGAAGTTCAAGCATCAGAGTTTTTATGACAGTTTCCTAAATGGATCCTGTCTGCATGGTCTCAAATAAATTAGTTAATTGATCGGGTTATCTTGATTTATTTGTCTCCTATTAGCTAATATTTATTGACCCTAACCAATCGAATTGTCAATGCACCCCTATAGCGCTTATTTTCTAATTGTCAACTGCATCTGGTTGTTAATAGCTAAGATGTTTATCACACTAACAGATAACCTCTATATTGAGGGTGAAAGCTTCCAATTTTATAATTCCTCGAGTAAAGAAAGCAAAATACGAAAAATTCTTGATAATTTTTCATTGTACACTTAAGGTACTTTAGGGCAACGTATACTCATACGGCAAAAAGTCTATTAACCGGCAGCTGACTTCTGACTTTAAACTACCATCACCCCACTGTATGTCATATTACACAGCTTTCACAGTACTCATCTCACCTTTACTCTGCTTTTGTGTCTGTCTGTCTCCTCTACATCTGTGAATCACTCTTCTGTTCCCCTTCCCGAATTGTTCTCACTTTGATTTTCCTCCCTCTGCGAAGCCCAAATTCAGCTAAATGGGTAATGATAACTATCAAAATGTCTGCCATTTGAAATAATAATAATTTTCAAGACGATTGGAGGCAGTTGAATTGGCCTTCATCGCAGAAGATGCGAAATCCCTAGCAGTTTTATTAGCACTAATTTCGCAAGCCATACGATCGTTGTTCGATATCATGAGAAATTCACATTTTTATCTTCAACACTCTCATATTTATTAAAACGACGTTTAAGTTATCACATATAGTGAAATCAACCTCTTCGATATTAGCTAAGCTTTTTTAACTTGTTGCAAAATGTTCCATTTCTTGCAGAGGATATTTGAAGGCCATGCAAGTGAGGTCTATGTATCCCGGTTCTTCCCCTCCGGCTTGGTAGTTCTCACAGGTGGTGCTGATATGCAACTACGCATCTGGTGTGCGGTGACCGGTAACTGTGGTGCTGTTTTACGAGCTGGTTTGGGCGGGACTGACCAATCCATCCGTGGTGACAAAGAGCCCGGTGGCCATCGATCTGGCGTTCTGGATGTGGATTTTATCGATCGGGGTCGAAATGTCATTTCTCTGGATCGAGGCGGTTGGTTGAGATTGTGGGATGTATCAACTCAGGTAAGGATATTTTAAGTCATTCCTAAGATTTTTGACAATTTGTTGTTTCTCAGGCAGACCACAACTGTTGCACCAGTGACAGCGATTAACCTAATCTGCTGCAAACTCAGACCTCATGCATTCGATGTGAATGGCTTCACGGCCAGTCATTAACTTTACCAATTGCATTGGTTAAGTCTGGTTATCCTCCCTTCTACCCACGACGGTCTTTGCACTTAAATAAGGTTATTGTCCCCATGTAAGGCTATGATGTAATCCATCAAATCTGCTGTGACTACAGTTGACTAGGGTTCAATAGAATAACAACATTTTGTATAGCTGTATAAATAATAACTAGCCAAAGTAATATGAATTTTCTCTAAATTTGATCAGGTCGTAACCGAATCGACAACATATTTTTTACCCCTCACCCCCCCCCCTATCTGGTTTAATTGTCAAGATATTAAGAGCTGACAACCAGTACAGAGACGGTATGGGGGCCAAGTATTGCTTTCAGTTTTGAGCCACGTTGCTCGGCCTTAAAGTGGTTAAGCAGGTATAAAGCGAAGAGTTCGATATGCGGGTTTAATAGGGTTTGCTATAATCAAATTTGTTTGCAATAAAGTAGAATATATGCGAAAAATCTTGGGCTGCAGTCGACGGGTGCATCTGTTAAAGCGATTATTCGGGGAACTTATATTAGCTAATGGGGGGTGTGCGATAGACTTACCTCAACGTGGTGCACCCTGGGCAACGTATACTCATACGGCAAAAAAGTCTATTAACCGGCAGTTGACTTCTCACTTCAAACTACCCCCACTGTATGCCATATTCGGCCCATTTCGGAGTACTCATCTTACCTTTTCTCTGCTCTTTTATCTGTCTCTGTCACATCTGTGAATCATTATTCTGTCCCCCCTCTCGACTTTTTGTCACTTTGATGTTCCTCCTCTCTGTGAAGCCTGAAGTCAGCTAAATGGCTAATGATAACTATCAAAACGCCTGCCATTTGAAATAAATAAATATTAGCTAATGCGGATTACTGGCTCCACGTTAAAAATAACACTCAGTAATAGTAACCTCACTGTACACACCTCTACTTAAGTTGTGTGCTATCGTCTTCAGGTGCAAATTGACTTGCACATTGATTATGCTTTCAGGACTTAACGCTGCCCCTTCTTTCTTATCTTTTTAGATTGCAATCTCAGCACTCTCCGTCACTCCACGACTACCTGGTGGGGGCCTTCATTCAAATTGCCTCCTTGACGATGTTCCGGTTTGCTGTGTTGTTAAGAAACGGGTTTCTCCAGAGGAGGCTACTTCTGAAAATTCCTCAGATTCATCAGAAAAGTTTAGTTGTAAGTACTTCCCATTTTGTTATAGTTTATCCACTTTTGAACATGCTTTCTTCCTCCTAGTGGTGTAATGGGTATTTTGAAGGAGGGCAAGGGGATTGGAGAGGAATGGAGAGTTTGTTTTTCTCTTTTGTAACCTTTCGAATGAGGTGGTTGGTCTTGTAAACTGACTAGCCTACCGTATTCTCGTCAATTCCGATGGTTATACTGTAGTTCAAGTGAGGATCGTTTGGCTTATTTTTTGGTTTTGGTCGGTAAGCATAAACATAATTTCTTTAAGTTTTCCTGGTTGGTTCATGTAATTGGCAATTTCGGGTACATCAACGTCAATTGATTGTGTTGAGTTATTTTGTTCTTTTAAACAAATGATCGCGCCTAGGATATGATTTGAATGTTGGAAAAACGTTTTCCGTGAAAACGACCAATTTAGTAAGTCTTATAAACAAAATATCTTCAACGTGATCGCGGTCTCGATGTCCTTAACATGTCAGTTCTCTTTTTTGTGTATTCGATTAGAGCCTTGATTTGAAATCATCTGGATGAGAATCGTGGCAGATATTGGTTTTCAAGAAATAAATTCTCCATTCATTTGCATTTTGTTAATTCTATCCATTTTAAATTTGTTCAATCGCAGAATAAAGCGTGAACCTGAACGTACCAAGTATAAAGCTTTGGCTGGAGTAACGCTTCCATCTTTAAGATTATGGAGACGTTTTTTAGAATATGCTAGCTGCTATTCTCAATATTACTATGCTACATTTATCTAGTGAAGTATTAATGAGTTGTGTTCCATTTTAGCTATTGAAACATCCTCCTTAAGAGCCACAACTTCCGGAGTCACAGACAAATTGGTCGCCGTAGGTTGTGGAAGCGGTGGTCGGGCCTTGCTTTTCGACATTTCCACCTCAGACTCCAGACAGTGTGGACCGGCTGCTCGCTTAACCCTCCCATCCAGATCTGGTTCCGTCACATCATGTGCTGTTGCAATGGCGAATGAAGGAGTTTCACCCGGTACCTCTTGCAGCGTGTTCAATGAATATGGCCTGTTTGTCGGTGGCTCTAATGGGGAACTTGCCTGCTGGGATTTGAGAAATTGCAGTAAACCATTGTTCAGTTGTGAGGCCTACAAATATGGCGTCTGTTCTTTAAAGCTGGTAAATTTCCCTGCTCAAACAGCTGAAGGATTAATTGGAGACTCCAAATCAGTGCCGGCTTTCACTGGTCTGATTTCGGCCTATCGTAAGTTCTGGTAATTTTTGTAATATAGCACCCACTTTAACACCGTTAGTAGTATTATTTTACATTTTAGGCGATGGTCGTGTTATTCTTCGTCGTCTAGATCAGACCGGAATGAGTATCAGCGAGGATGGATATTCAAAATGTCTTGAGTTGACCGGACCAGAAGCAGAGGCTATTTGTGGAGTCTCAGTAGTAGGAGAGCGCCAGTCTTCTATGTGGACAGGCACGTACAGTGCTCAGTTCTTTGGATATCGGAGAATCGCTTCTGAAAGCCTATTTGATTTCTGATGACTAGGTGTGTAATGTGTGTTGTTGTAATTTTTATAAAAATCTAAATTATTGTGACCTTTGTCTTGCACTGCCAAACGTGACATTTTTCGACCTCGAGCAATTGTGTGATTATGAATAAGGTAGGTATTTATTAGGGAATTTAATGAGTGATGGGTCGCAGTGATAAATTAAATTTGATATATGTTGCTTAATGTTGTATGCTGAATCAAGTGGATGTGTTGGTATCGGAACAGGCCCTTGTTGAAGGAGGAAATTGCGGTAATTAGGAGGCACCTGAAGCCCCAAATACCCATTTGATGAGGTTTGTGTGCAACTCATGCCCGAAGATCAAATGGTGAAGGACTCTTCGGTGTCTTGATGTTACTTCCAGTATCTTCTCGCTTTTTCCCCTTTCTAATTAACTTCACTGCTTTTCAATGTACAATTTGCTACTAATTACAAGTGTGCCAAATAAATTTGCTTTAGTTACCTTTTGATGAGAGAATCTCCCCTTATGCTGGTACGTTTTGATACGTTTTGCTTACACAATAGTAGATGCAAGTCTCGTAAAATGGTCTATTTTTATGCGACTTCTACTTTTTGATATTTAGATGTATAAGACATGGTTAAAATTCTTGCAGGATTATTTGCAATGCTTTCCAATTTTAACCTCCCAATCACTCTGTGTCTACCATTAAATGCTCTTTGGAGAATCTGGTCACTCTGCTTCCATAAATATCCCCAACTCCTACTTAAATCCTTGAGGTTAACTCCCGTCCACAAACTTCTGAACTCATCTTCTACAGCTTGTAACAGACACCCTTTTTGCTTCAACATGGTTACTGACTTTGAAGTCTAGCAACTGAGCTCTCTAACCAGGATATTGGCAAAGTAATGAGAACACAGGATGTGTTGAATGATGGGCTGCGAATTAACCAATGAGATCAGTATATATATATATATATATATATATATATATCCATCACTGGTTAGCTGATAAGGTTTCTGCACTACGGCACCGGTGTACGCTATGCGATCGTCATCACGACCGCACTTTCCAGAATATTCTAGTGTACGCGAAGTTCTTTTAATCAGCATTTCGTGCACTTCACCTAAAGTAAAACACAAGCAAGAAAATTCCTATAAAATACTTGAACTGAGTGAAAAGAATGCCAATCGCCTCGAAAATAGTCGCACTAACTAGTAAAGTTTGCGCCATTTAAATAATCGTATTTCTGGCCTATTCCGGTCGAACTAATGGTTTCGTGTTAATGAAATATGTTTCCGCTATTCTTTAATTCTTCTTACAAGACAGATTTGAAATATTAACCAAAATGGCAGTATCTCTCAACAAAAATGAGGTCATAAAGGCTTACGACGCGAATAATGCCCTGAGTCAGTTTGTAAATTGCTATTGTAGTCATATTAGTGAATTCAAAGTGACAAATTTAATTTAGAGGAGCTTTCGTACTGTCATCAATGATTGCAGAGCGATATCTTAAGTCTATCCGATTATAATCTATATTGACGGGTGGTCTCTGACACAGAAGCCGAGCATGCTGATCAAGGTGACACTCGAGGACAGGTAATTGTATGCTAAATTCACCAAATCTTTCAAAGGTTTTGTTATGAAGGAATGAAATACTGTGGTTTTCGGTTTTAATTTGCAAAA